AAAAAAAAAAAAAAAAAAAATGAAAGAAATAAAATATGAGTCTACAGAGACTTAACAAGACTTCTTATAAATATAATGTGATGTGATAACTATGCATTGCTGTGTCAAATTCTTAAGCAGAAAAAGATAATGATAAAGTAACTCAAAACTCTTTAGAGAAAACTTTGTCTCCTAGGACAGATGGAGTGACAGGTCTCAAGTGATGTGCTGACCTTTTTTTCCCCAAGCTTCTTTGAAGAGATTATCTAAGTATCGTTTCAGACACCCATCACTCTTATTTTTAGCTCTGAGCTCTCTTCACGAGTGTGGTGACCTGTGGCTTAGAGCTCCAGAGACTCCCAGATATGGCACATGATTCAGCTGCAGGTACCTTGCATTGATTTCCAGGAAGGTCGGTGGGCTGGAGGCCTGGAGAAATGATTTTTGATGTTAAACCCTTTGCTTTTGTTCCTGTTCCAACCACTTGATCAGGAATGACATACTTCATAAATTGATCCCTTGGTGCCATAAGCAATTGGCAATGAAAATAGAACCCAAGTGATATTGTTCTCCAAGAGGTTCACAGCCAGCTGCAGGGTGGGGGGAGACAAAACTCAGGGCTTTGGTCACAGGCTATTTTCAGCCTCTGATAGCAGTTGTGTTACTAACGTCTCATTCACCCTCTCCCTCGGCCTCCCTCCTGCCCTTCCCCCAGCAGGCCAAGGTTGGTGACAGCCTTCATATATTTAAAGAGGACAAGAGCCCCTCGGACTCAGTTGAGCTGAACAGAGACCACACAGGCAGGTGAGTGGAGTAAGATAGACATTTGGGCTGGAGGTGGGTTGGTTCTGTGGCTGGTTTGGACTATAAAGGGTTCCATAGAGTAAGGGCACACTTTACGTCCCAAGTGCCAGCCCCCTCTCTGGTTCTATGGAAGGAGGCTCAAGTTGTACTTGACTCTGGTATGGATCTAGCGGGTGTTAAAAAAATTCCTGCAAGGATGATTAATATTTGGGAGCTTAAGGCACCTCATAGGCAGAGAAATGAGTGAGGGATTCTTTTCATTATAAAACTACTTATGTGGTGGAATTACGTTTCCTGCTGTCTTAGTTGGAACAACTGGAAAGCAATAGGAAATAAGAGAAAGTCTACTGATCTTCTAGTTCTACAAGCACCATATAATTGGTGGATGACAGACTTTGAGAGGGTTCCTGCCCTCAGGCACTTGGCCTCTTCTTCTGCAAGGATCAATATAAATTGGTGACATTTTTCCAAACTGTAAAGTCCTGCGCAGATACAAAGCGATAAGCGATTATACTAGATGCAATATGCAAGACAGCTTTCCCATGCTCAAATTACGTGGAATTGTGTTATTCAAAATGTCATGGTGAATTACTGAGATTTCAGGCTTGTTGATTTTAAATTGATTTTTGTATCCTAAAGATGTTCAGCAACAGGCTTGCTTTTAATCATTTGAAATTAATCAAAACTGGACCCCAAAAAGGCATTGCTACATTGAAATATATTAAAAGCTCTATTAAATGGGAGGATAATTCAGCCAGTGGTTAGGATTCCCAGTGTTTCCTCTAGGTTTTAGTCAAGGACTTTCAAAAATATCCCAGTGAATGACAGGCATGGGTGTGATTGAGAATAAGAAGTGGTTTTAAGCAATGATCTGAGTGGAAATGCTGCTGAAAGATCCAAGCTGCTGCTTCAAATTTCTGCCCTGTTCCTGAGCCAAGCCAGTGACTCCTTCAAGAAGGAGGAGTTGAGTTACTGGTCTAAGGAAACTTGACTCTCTGCAATACAATTCAATGTGATTTAATAAGCATGTATGGGCCATCTCCTATGTTAGGGCTGGAGGGAGGTAGAGGCAGCTCTACACAGGGAAGGGTGGACTTAAACAGCAAGAAGCGTGGGGAATTGGGGATAGCCTGTGTCCTCAGTTTACGTCTGGGATTGAATCTCAATGCTGGGTACATCCAATTCATCACAATGCATGTAGAACTGTTTTATGACCCAGAAAATGTGGGGGAGTCTTCTGATTTGGCTTTTGTTCCTTTCTGAACAACTCGGTCGTTTGTGGTCAGTGGCAATGAGCCCAGGCTATTGGGCAGTAGGTGTAGCTGAGTCCCAGGGCTTGGTGTCCTCCCTGGGGTTCAGGCAGACAGGTGCTCTGCAGCTCAGACACACAAGCCATCCATCAGAGACAGGAGATGCAGGGCAGGGGGCAGGGGAGAGGGGGAGGGAAGGAGAGAAGGAGGGAATGAAAGAGAGAAGGGGGGGAGGAAGGGAGGAGGAAAGGAAGAGGAGCCACAGCAGCATTCAGCTGGCAAATGGCTAAAATCCCCTTGGAAGAAGTGGAGACAGAATCCTGTTAGAATACAAACTCAGAAATCCTGGGAACTTCAAGAAGAAAGTAAAGATAATCCGGTTATAAGCTAGTTCAAATTATAGCTCTGAATATCACTTAACTTTTCTGAGTTTCCATTTTCTGAACAATAAAATTAAGGGAAAGCCACCTCCCTCAAAGGGATTTGTGAGAATTGAATGAGGTAAAGTATAGGAAAGTACTTTTGTAAAGTTTAATATAACCGTACAAATGTGTGAGGCCGTTGAGAAAAGGCATACAGCCAAACCCGATGGGTTTTGGAGGATTTCCTGCTAAGTACAAGCGTGCTGATAAAAGTCCAGAGGTCAGAGTGGGTAACAAGCTGACCAGGAGTTAGAAGATAATTAATTTCTTTTACAAGAGGAAAGACACAGGGCTAGGAATATAATACACAGGAAATACAAGTCCTGAGGCAGGCAGATTTCCAGTTACAAGTGTGCCGTTCAGACATCTGGGAATAAATACTGTATTGAGGGTCAGGCTTCATGGTCAAAGAGATATGTGATGCCTGCAAATGTGAAAAACTGCAGTGACTCATCCCAGTGAAGAAAGGCAGAAAGGGAGACAGTAACGGTCTTAAAAGGCATGGAGGATGGAGCCTTTTCTGAGCTCTACTGTGGGAAAGGGTTGATCATGATTTGATGGTTGTTTACAGCCCTGGGCAGGCATGGAGTAAGTACTAGCTTATTTAAGGGTCACAAAAAGTCCTGCAAAACTCATTTTTCAGAGGAAGAAACTAAAGTTCAAGAAAGCGTAGGAATTGCCCAGCATCACAAGGCCGAGAAAGCAGCAGAGCCAGCAGGTAGACTGGGATATGAGGTGATCTTTAAAAATAAATTGTGGAGGTCAAAATAGAACAAAGAGTGAGTTTTGGGGAGTAAAAGTTGGCCATGTTTCAGATATAATTTCAGAAAAGTTGTAAGCTGCCCATGTTCTACAGCCTTCATTTAATGTATGTCTACCACGTCTGAGTTAGGCAGGTGTTGAACAATGAGAACAAGTGGACTCACAGAGAGGAGAATCACACATTGCGGGGGGCTAGGGGAGGGACAGCGGGGGGTGGGGAGGGTGGGGAGGAATAACATGGGGAGAAATGCCAGATATAGTATGCACCTATGCAACAACCCTGCATGACCTGCACATGTACCCCAGAACCTAAAGTAAAATTAAAAAAAAAAATTTAATTAAAAATTAAAAAATAAATAAAATATTATAAAGATATTGTTCAAATTGAAGGGCAAAGGCCAGGTTCAGCAATTTTCAAACTGTATGTACATTTAATAAAATCACTACTAATAAAAAATTATATTAAAAAAAAAAGCGGGGTGAGAGCCAAAACTCGGGTTTGTTTCCATGCTGGCAATGAGCAACCTGTGCTTCCTGGGCTCCGTGAAAGGGCCTCTGGCTGAAGGACATCATATATCTGGGTTCAGAAGCTCAGTAGGAAGCAGCCACTGACCCTGAATGTCCTATACCGAGGACTGAAGGGCACGGGCTCCCCTGGGCCACAGGGCCCCTGCCTGGGCATGCTGCCTCCAACCCAATCCAACAACCCAAGGGGCCAATTCTCACCCTGAACTGGGCATGCCTGTCCTGAGACATGACATACTCTGGAGGCTGAAAAAGCTGATTCACAGAATGAACCAGAAGGGCCATGGAGAACAGGCAGGGAGTGAGTTGTTTGTTCTAAAAGAACAGACTTGGAAACTAGCGAGAAAGTCATAGTGACAATAATAGTCATGATGCCAGTAACTACTTATTCAATTCCTGCTACGTGTTAAGTCATTCTGTACAGTGTCTTAGATAGTACTATCTGCTTTAACCTGAAAACAACCTTCCCAGACAAGCCTTCTCGTACTGTCTTTACACTGAGTACGCTGGGTCAGAGAATTTGAGCAACTTGCCCAAGGCTCAACAGCTAGTGTTTCTGAATTAAGCCTGGTTCTTCCAAAGCCCATGCTTTTTCAATATGGCTATGTCATCTTTCTTACCCAAATTAAGAGCAAATAAAGGACAGGGTTTGAGAGGGCACATCATTGGGTAGCTTTCTTCAAGGTGAGGCTTCAATCACTTTTGAGATCCTTAAATCTGTCTCAGGGTTTGAAGGACCCTTGAAGAGGCTTCAGTGTATAGCAGCTGCTTGTATGTCCATCCCCATCAGTAATGTGGGAGAAAATCAATAGTGTGGGAGAACTCTGCAGTTCCTTTCCATGTTGAACAGCAGTAACTCAGAAAGTCCTTTATTTCAGTGAATGAATTCAGTTTCTCTGTTAGTCCCACCCATGAGCACTCTCCGTGTCCCATGGAGAGATAATGGATCAGTCACATCTCAATGCCCATCAGCTGTGAAGTCTGGGTAGTAGGGGTGTTGACCCTTGTCCTCTCTCCAGTGTTATAAACAGGAGCATGAGATTCAGAACCAGCTTAACTGGGGGTTGAATGGCAGCTCTTCTACTTACTGGCTGTGTGACCTTGGAAAAGATACTTAAGCTCTCTGTACAGTTTACGTATCCACAAAAATGAAAATAAAATTTGCTCTGCACAGCTGTTGTAAGTATCAAACATAATATACATAAAGCCACTGACAAATAGTAAATGATAAATAGTAACTAATATTAATATAAGAACACAGCTTTGGAGTCAGAGAAACATAAGTTCCAATCTACTCATGTGACACATATCAGTCCCATGAACTTGGACTAATGTCATTTCCCAAAGCCTCTATTTCCTCATCTGTAAAGTAAATGTAATAATAGTGCCTACCTTGAAGGGTTGTTGTGAAGATTAAATGATATCCAAGGGCAGTGCTCCAGGCATGTTAGCTTCAATAATAAAATTAGAAATGACTATTATTATCACTTAGATTCCCGATATATGTTCCTATAATCCCAAATCTTTGCTTCAGCCAGTGTAGACAATTTAACTCACTGTTTGGAATCAGGCATCTAGTAGGATGACCAACTGGGTCAGCACTGAGCTGAAAATGGTGGCATTGTGGCACTGTGGCTTGAGGTCTCTGCCCAAAGTCATGGCCTAAAGTTCCCTCCTGGGTGCTCATTTTATGTACCCACCACTTTTGCCCTAACTCATCATTGTTCAGTGTTATAGTTGGTAGAGAAGGAAGAAAGGAAGGAAGGAAGGAAGGAAGGAAGGAAGGAAGGAAGGAAGCAAGCAGAGAGAGAGAGAGAGAAGAAGGGAGGGAGGGAAATGAAAAACGCAGGAAAGAAGGAAAGGAAGGGAGGGAGGGAGGGAGGAAGGAAGGAGGGAAAGAAGAGAGGGAGGGAGGAAAGAAAAGGAGGGAGGGAGGGAAGGAAGGAAGGAAAGAAGGAAGGAAGAAAGGGAGGGAGGGAGGGAGGAAGGGCAGGGAAGGGAGAAGTAGTTGGATTAGGGAGAATGTGCCCAAGATACACAG